ATGCGTAAGATGCTGGGGTTGATGTCAAAGCTTAAATCTTGACCTTTCAAGTTGTAACAGGATACTGAAGTTAACGCAGTCTATATTCAGTAGCGCTGTGTAAACTAGCAACCAAACCATTGGGTAGGGAACGGGGCGCCTATTGCCGCATTATTTCAACTTGTATAAGTTGTAGGATGCGTATGTGCTGTGTCAAGTAGGCAGACCTAGTTTTGAACAAGTAAATTTACTGTTAGCACAAACTTCGCAAATGAATATTCTGAAATGCGACTATGACAAGCATCTGTTGCCAAAACAATGTAACTGAATGTTATCTTTGTAATTGTAAGGAATGCAAAGACCTGGACATTGGATTTCATCTACTGCCCCTGCATGCTGCAAAATCAAGGTCGGTGGAGAAAGGCGGTGCTGGCGGCGACACCGAAGTTCACGGTTTGGATGCGGAGAGGGTGGAGTTGCTTGTTGATGCATTGAAACAGCTGGAGGCTGGGGTGGTGGTGACGGATTTTTCGCCTCTTCGGGATGACCAGTGGGCGGTGCAACGCCTGTCGAGTCGGCTGCCTCAGGACACGTCACTGTATCAGGTTAGTGCTACTTTAATGCAGTCAATAGCAAGGGTAAATGTTGGGAGGAATGTGGTAGTAGGGTAGGAGGCAGGCAGGGAGGCAATGAGAGAGGCAAGGAGGCAAGGAGGGAGGGAGGGAAGGAGGGAGGGAGGGAGGAAGAGGGTAGTGTCTGTTGGGTTGTGGAAGTGAGGATGGTATGTTGGCCACTAAGCGCATGTTGTGGGGAAGAAGGAGTGGGTTGCTTTTTCAATGCAAGACACATGATGAGCACGAAGTTTTGTCATTGATTGCTGTCACATGTATTTGCCCCTCTGTAATGGTGAAATTCGATTGTGAGTGTAGGTGATGGAGTGGAGTGGAGTGGAGTGGCTAGTGGTAGTGCGAAGACACAGGCCTCTTCTTTCCTTACGTTAGTTGTCGAAGCTGATGGACGCGGATGAATTGTGATGCTGGTTGGTGGGCAAGATTTGTGCTCGTGTGGTTGGGATGCATCGCTTCAAGTGTTGGAATAGTTGTGAAGGTTGGAATGTGGGCACTACTGAGGGGGAATATCTCTGCACCAGATGTTGAGTGACGCAAGAACTAGGTTGGGGAAATCTCGTTGTTCGTGCCGTGAGTAGAGAAGTGTGGTTGTGAGTGGAGGTAATGTGTTGTTTGTGCTAAATGATGGCAACTATTTTTGCTTAGGAGGAGTCATGTCAGTTTTTGTGGGAGTGAATTGTGGTGTGAAATGGATGTGGGAAGGTGGTGTGAGAAGGTTGTTACATTATGAGCAAAGTAATGGAGTGGAGTGGGCACCAACTGGTTAGATGGTGTGGTTGAGGCGGTGTCCATTGTGAGGTAGGTGTCAATCAGGTAATTGTATCGGTGCGTAGGTTCGCCTGCACGAAAAGTTGCCTTTTGTTAATTGTGACACAGTGGCGTAAG